TGCGGCACATAGGCCTTACAGCCCCCCCCCCCCCCTGTTGAAAAAATCCTACGCACGGGCGTGGCCAAGTATTAAAGTGAGTCATTGCTAGACAAGTACAGCTGTCCTTAGTCATATATTAACTGAGTCACTCGGATGTCAAACTTAATCCCCTGAGAGTAAATATTACTTTGACGAGTACAAAGCATTCAGTCAAACATGACACACTATGTATAAATATTGACCTAAGACTGTATTCAGTCGTTGAATAAATGACGCGAAAACTACATGCAGTAATGATTCCAGTATGAAAGCAGAAAAGAAAATATCTGCAAAATATAATTGCCAATCTTCCTTTATTCAATTATTTTAAAGTAGCTTTAATGAAATTAGGTTTTTCCTCAGGATACCTTGGGCATAGCAGGATATTTCAAACTTTTTTCAATCATGCGAAAAAATAATAGCGCCCAGTTTTAATTATTTTTGGCAATGTTTGTTGTTGAGCTTGTCACATATTTTTCATCTGCCGATATTAATGATTGATGTCTTGTGTTATAATGCTTCGCTTGAATTGCCTCATTTAGATAACCCGGGCATTTAGATAACCCGGGCATAAGGTGGCCGGAACCCTCTTGTTGTTGTCTCAAACAACTATAACCACATTGTGGCTCGTGAAATGTAGCGAAATGTTTGACCATGCTTGCAAAATGGTCCGCTAAATTACGCCATGCATGACACACATAACATGACAATACTGGGTATTGCCGTCCAATCATCATCCGGTAATCGCTTTTCATTGTTTTGAAAATCCAACTGTTCTCCATGCCATCCACTCACTTAATTGTTGTGTTTTGACAAATATATTCAAAGGTTGTTCCTCTTTTTCATTCCAATTTTGTCTTGTGTTGCAGAATTCAATCCGCCATAATCTCTCATTGAACAAATGTTTCGTGAAGGTGGCCAGACGCAAAGACGAGCCAGGCAAAGGTGGATTTTGGAAGATTGATCCGGCTTACGCCGACATGTTTGTCGATGGCGTCTTCAAACGACGTCGAAGCTCTACGAAGACACCACGAAAGTCTACGAGTATTACAAATAAATCCCGCAGTAAATCAACATCCAGTCTCCCAACAAAACGCGCGGCCTCGTGGAATGATTTCGCCCCAGACCCCAAGAGGATACGAGCAGAGCGGCCAAGTTTGAACTACTATCGTCATAATGACGTCATTGATACATATTTTGAAGAAGAAATCCCGCCATTCACCGGGGGCTTGAAACAAGATCTAAATTGGAATTCAATCCTTGCAGATACTGAAGAGATCAGCTTTAGGGATGCTCTGGATAGTCAGGGGATCATCATTGATCATAACTTTCGTGTACTCAATAGTCCCTTCACGTCCTTCACTCCTGCGACCCCACCCCACAATGGTGCATTTACACCTGAGGATAACTTAGATCTGACAATACACGGGGTAGGGTTGCTACCTCATCATCGCATGCCTCCTTCACCCCCGCGTATGAGAAGTGACCATCCCTGGGCTGAGGAACCGCCTAATGACGTCATGGCTTCGCTGGACTTCCTGGTCAGTCATGATATGGGGTATAGAGAATCTGGCTTTTGATCACTGTGTGAATAATTATTCTTTAGCTGGATTTCTGGAACCGAATTATGACGTCCTGGTATGACGTCACTATGATGTCACGCATGTAAATATCATGTGAATAATGAACAATACACACACACTATGCTTCATTGAAGTTTGAACTAATTTGCGAAAAATCAAAATTATAATCTCTGCTTTGTCATGGAAAAACGAACACTGACGCTAAAATACTTCATTCCAAGTGCTACATATTCCAATAAACTCAATGAGTTATACTGATTTTTTAACCTAATTGTGCACAATAATGAATAATGTAGATATTGTATTTATAGTTCTGTTTTGTTTGTAAGTAGTAGTTGCAAATAGTCTAAGTTATTCCATTACATACTTCATTTTAAAATAATTTATTTCAAAAATAATGAAACATTTTGCTTTTTTATTGCTATAATGGTTATATTTTCCAGCTTATATGGTACCAGTCTTGAAATACACTTATATACACGTTCTTTGTGGTAGATTGTTGCTAGTCGAATTTTAGTTCCTAGTTTAGGCAGTTGATTTTCAGTTTAGGTAGTGGTCTTGAAATTCACATTGAATTACATAGTATAGCCAAAAGACTTCTCAATCGATATTATTTATGTGTAGAGCGAAGTTTGACACGAATCAGCTAAAATCTATGAAGATCCCGTCTATGTTTTCTAAGATATACCGATATTTCTGGAGATTTTCAACTACAGGCAAAGCTCTGCATCCAAGCTGCATCTAGGCGTCTCCATGCAAGTGGTGATTCACACGAAATTTCCTTTCTCTCGTCTTGAACAATATGGCTATTGCTATAATTAATATTTAGTTTAAATATGCTCTTATACTAGTTATAGAGCTGACTTAGTTCAATATATTAAATAAACACAAATATAAAACCTCGCGTAACCTGTTTACGCTGTACAGGAGTATACGGTTCGCTTGTTTCGCCGGACACCAACACTTGCCGTTCAGGAGCAATGCTTGCCTACAAATTTTATCCCGTTCACAATCTTTGTTTTATTTTATCGTATAGTCGCATTTTTCAAGTATTCGGCGTATTCTGAAACTGAAAAACTGGGTGGCGTGCGAATCTTGTAGACTACATCGGCTTAGGCGTAGAGTTATTAAGTAAACAGGGCCTAAATTAATTTAGTAGTTTCATTTAATTATTTGTCTTGCTTTTATTTGTCAGTACAGAATATTGTAAATTAAAATATTACTACAATGCAATACGCGTAGTATTTCATCAGACATCTGCACTAATAAATACTGTACAAGGAAAACTTAAATAATAGTAGACATTTCTTGTTTTGTCAGGAAACACCACAGCTCACTTCGACACGGCTTTTGAGTTTTGTAACTGGCCAAGGCGAAAGTAAATCGTGCAGTCGGGAAAACGTCTTACTTTGAAAGATTATTTTGCAAAGCATACTCGTACACACAAGAATCATAAAAATACAAATGTTGAATTGTATTGTAATTTGTTATTGTCAACCGTCAAGTTCAGTTATTTTTAGACAATATGGTGTTAGCCAATCAGAATGCAAAAGTGACCGGCCCGGACCAGGGCTTCCTCGTGTCTCGCCTCGCAGACTAGTCCCAAGTCCTCTGTGCCCGCTTTTGATTTCCGTGACGTCACCGAGCGAAACACCTCATTAATATGCAGAAACGCGCAATAGGCGAACTAAGAGGTCTAGGGACTAGGCTGCTTGCCTCGTCCCACACTGAAGCCCTGGGAACGAGGTTGGGAACCGTATATATAGGTTCATCCGTCCACGTGTTTGTACCGTTTCATCCAATTTCTGTTCCGCAATTCCGTCCTCCGCAGTGTTACTGAATATTAATGAGGGGGCTGACAAGAGGAGCAGCTTGGGTTGCTTCGGATATATTGCGTAATATTTCATTTCAATATTTTGTTTTTATTTGAACAAAACACACTTGCTGTGCAAATTGACCTAAATTTTACATCATTACATGTTTTATTGCTGTAGAAAGACTGGTTTTATATCGAAGAAAGAGCTCAAGCGTTTAGTTATCTTTTTATTGTGTTTGTAAAACATATGATACAACTTTATAATTTGACGTGTTAGGTTGCACGTTTGGAAGCAAAATTGTATAAAGTATAAACGTCTTGCACAATTGAGGAACATTTGTAATTTGATGCAACCATGTCAAGATCAAGACTTGTTTTCCGTCAGGTAAAGCAAAGAATGGTGTATGAAAATACATTTTTCTTTTTTTTCTTGGTTCAAAATTGTACTGTTTTAATAATTGATATATTTAAATATTTGTAACATTGTTCATTGTAGTTGTTCGATTTTGAGTCTTCGACATACAGTTACATTCTTGGATGTGTGAAAACAAGAAAGGCTGTTATCATTGATCCAGTTGACACGAAGGTGATAATAAAACTTAGTTTGGTTTGTCAATGCAAACTCTGGTAAATAGACGATGGTTATTTGTACTTTAGGTGTCCAGAGATTATCATGTTCTTAAAGAGTTGGATCTGAAACTTCAGTATGCTGGTAGGTAGATACGAAGTAATATGAGTTCACTAATTCCTGAATTTCAGGAAATGCAACAGCAGCTGGTGGTCAATTTCTGAAACAGTTTGACAGACAGTCATAGGAACAGGAAAAGTAAGCTGGCCGGTGGCAGTGTAGGTGGTAGTAATAACAGAAAGCTGTGGTGTGAGAGACAGCTACATGAAAAATACAAAAAAAGAACTTATATTTTTCAAGTAGTTGCATGTCTATCAGTTCACAGCATTGCGTCAAAATTAAGCTGCATCCCTCAAATTATTCTTTTTATCTGCCACAAGACTACTCCATATTATGAAAAATAAAATTAATTTAACAATACTTTCTCACTAGTGATGGGCGATACCGAGTACTCGGTATTCGATACCAGCGATACCACAAACAGCGGTATCGGTATCGATTACTAACGTGGTATCGTTCGATACTTGCACCCTTTTTTAAACGACTTGTTTAATTTCACTTCTTGGTTGAATAAGACTTAATGAACCATTAAAATAACTCTTAATATTCCAAATGTGGTGCGCCAAGTCATGTATAGAAAATATTTATTACGTTTCGGACTTTTGGTTTACATATAGCTTTATTTAGGTTACATACAGTAATGAAAAATGTTTTCGGCAGGTATCGAAAGTAGCCGATACTAGCAATTTAAGTACTCACTTCCGGTATCGAAAATTGAAATTTTGTGTTCATGTTGGTATCGAAATAGGTATCGGTATCGGCCGATACCGATCTTAAAAGTATCGGTATCGGTATCGAATTAAAAATCCTGGTATCGCCCATCACTATTTCTCACTCTGATAACTGGTGGTTGACCTATAAAAGTCCCAAAAAAGAAAAAAACAAATAAGATGCCAAATTTTGAAGTTTATATATAAAAATTGGACAAGTTATAAATTAGAGAGAAAATTCAGGAAATATGAAAATTTTTTATATGTTGGACAATTTTTGGAGATTAGCCCCCAAAATAATAACTGTTATGCTACCACTGTGACCACCATCTGTACAATGGTATCAATATTTATAACCACAATATTTCAACTGTCTCCATTGTGTTTTGACTACAGTGAACACACATGTACATGCAGACCATATCACTGGCACTGGATGGCTGAAAGCTCTCATCCCGTCATGTCAAAGTGTTCTGTCCAAGGCCGCTGGTGGACAGGCTGATGTTCTCATTGACGATGGTCATGTGATAGAGTTTGGTGATCAAGCATTAGAATGTCGCCTCACACCTGGACATACGAATGGTAAAGAACTCTTATGCAATTAGACAGAATCAAATTTGGAATGCAATTAGTTGACCTTAACCAGCCAGAAAAGAAACTGTAACCTTAATCCCATCCTTGCTCAAACCTTGATCCTTATCCTAACTTTATCCTAATTTTATCCTAATTCTAACCCAAGCCTGACTGCAACAAGGCTATAAACTGATTCATTACTGTGTAACCCTAACTGGTAACCCCAATTGTAGCCCAGGCTATGGTATGAAGAAACAGACAGACATATTGTTTTTATAATACAGCTATAAAGCCAAGCAATCATAAGAAATGCATATTGTTCAAATACTTTGTTTATTTGTTTGCTCAGGTTGTACAACATA